TCATTGTTGTTTGGCGGGTCCGGGCTGGGGATATGAACCCGCCACCTTAGGTGTACGTGGCTGGCGCCTTAGCCGGTTGAGCTATAGGTGCCGAGCCCACTCTGTCTCTTCAATGAGTTGAGCACCTGCTCTGTGGTGGTGTGCTAGAGACACAGATAACTAAGGTGGGATTCCTTTGCTCCAGGCCTCTGTATCTAGGGAAAGGGACCAGGTAAAAATTTGAATCCACTTGTAGGTACCAAGGTGGATGGGAAGGAGCTGTGGGACCCTGTGCCCTGCTTCTTAATTGCTCTGGCTCCCTGGGGAGTTTTCCCATAGCCCCCAGGGTTCTGCCACACCAACCTCAGTTTTCTGAGAAGTGGTTCTATCTACAATTTTTAATAGCCTGACGGCTATAGCAATTTTTTTAAAGTGAGAAATCAAGCCTCTAATCCTACTACTCTAGGAGGCTGAGGCAGGAGAATTGCTTGAGCTCAGTTTGAGACTAGCCTGAGCAAGAGCAAGACACCACGCCCCCGCCTTGGTCTCTATTAAAAATAGAAAAATTAGGCATTTTAGTGGGTACCTATAGTCCCAGATACTCAGGAGGCTGAGGCAGAAGGACTGTTTGAACCCAAGAGTGTTAAGATTGCTCCAAACTAGGCTGATGTCATGGCACTTGCCAGCCAGGGTAGCAGAGTAAGACTCTGTCTCCAAAAAAATCCCAACAAAACAAAACACAAAAATACGTTTTGATCAGACTTACATAAACATCTTCACGATCCACCACACTTTCAGGGCTAAACTGGAAAGGCAGCCTTCCCCAGACCCCTCTGCATCCTGCCTACCACAGCAGAGAGCCCCACTCCCTACCCCGCAAGTTGCAGAGGGGCAGATTATAAATCTAGTCCCCACTCAACCCCTGAGCCAAGGCTGTAGAAGCAGGCTAATCATACAGGCAATCACCAGCAAACACAGTACAGAACCCATCCACAAGACTAAGCAGAGGGAATATGCTAACACACAGCCCCAGGGCTCCCTGGTAAGAGAAGCCAGGCCTTAGGCCTGTGTAGGGACCCAAG